ACTCGGAAAAACCGCACTCATGCAAACAATATTATTCTTTATCAATAGGCATTATTCGGAAAACCAGTGCCCGTTTAGTGTGTTCATACGGGATTAACTCGGTAAACCCGTGTCTATTTTGTTTTATTTGCTTTTTTTAATGTTGTAGAGGAAATGGCCGCTGAGGAATTCGTCAAAAGAGACGATTCAAGTGCCGTCTTAGCATTTATACTAAAACTGTCTAGTATTTCGATCTCTCGTAGAGCAATTTCAATATCTTGAAACTCTTGTTCCAATTCTTCAAGTTCTGAGTCGATTTCTTCATCATCATTATCATTACTAGGATTTTTGACAAGTTTTTCCTTGATGACTACGTTATCAGCTGACGAATTTCGCGTGTCAGTCATCTGTCCTCTGCGTTTTAGTCGGCAGAAAAATGATCGAACCTGATTTTCATTTAAAATTTCGCTGGCCGAAAAGTAAAACTTGCCATTTTCTTTCAAGGTCTCCATATCTAACACCACCTCTTTCGGTTTCCAATGTTTCACACGGGAAATGCCTTCATCAAATTTTTTTTGGAGGTATCCACGCTGTTTATCCGAAAAATCTGTGTTCGGTTTGCGTATGGGCAAAGCCCAACCTTGCGGAAGAGAACTCGTTTCATCATCGATTACTTCCGTTAATTTCATATCAATAGATATTAATCGTCGATTTTCGACTTCTTCTAACTTCGAATGATACATTTTCATAGCTGTATCTTTCAATGAAAGTTTTTCAACTGTACATCGGTGTTTACCAATGAGTATATGATTGATATAGTTTCCGAATTTTACAAATTCTGCAGTGCAGCCCTGCTCAACATCACATGCATATATATTCTTTTGCTTATTACTGTTTTGTAATGATTCATCGTCTTGTGCATCATAGACGTCGATATCCATAACTTCATCACGATGTCTCTCTTTTGTCTCTACCCACTCATGAACAAACCCTTCTGTTTTACTAGATATTAGATTGAAAATGGGTTGATCACGATTCAACTGTGACCACGGTATCAAGAGGCCGGAACCGATGTTCCATGAGCGATGTACTAAAAGGCCTTGACTTTGATACTCGAAATTATAATAGTTCGTTATCTGCTTGATCGTACACTTCTTACTTTTTTTTAATTCATTATTTTCAATTCGGCAGTCAAGTGCAAAAACACCTTTGACCCCTTTGTATGAATGACATGCTTCGACAAACTCAGAAGCAGTTGTCACATTATGATTTTCATTCATATATCTGCGAACATGTGACTTAAGTACGGCAGCATAACGATCAGAAGGACCCTTGCAGCCCTGCGGATCACCAAAATCAATTCGCTTGATTGCTATACCAGTCTTTTCCAATATTTGCTTGGCTGACACAAGTGTGTTTGCCGAATGATAACAACCTGCGTTATCTGATCGGATAAATGCATTTTTTATCTGTGGATCAGTTTCTTTGACGTGATGTAAAACGTCCTTCAAGATGGCGACGACTGTTTCACTATCCTGTGTACACTGATCAAAAACATGTACAAAAACTTTATACTTGAAAGAGTGTTTTCCTTTCTTATCAATGACATTAGTATCATCACTGTTTTCTTCAGACAAATCAGTCATTTCCTGATCATTGATTTGCTGACTATCATCAAAGACATCGCTGTCTTCATCGAATGTGTTGTTCTCATTTTCAACACCTGCATCATTCTTCATTACAACAGTAATATGCCAACTGATGCCTCGTTTACCGAAAAATTCAGACTGTGGTTCCCGACTTTTCACAGGAAGAAATTTCATGGCCCAATCAAGATTGAGATAAATCTCATTATTAGATAGCTTATCGAGTAAATTTTCTCGACACAAATCTTGGTTGATGGATCGCAGTAAATGCGCTTTCCATGCTTCAATAGATTCACGATATGATCGGAACTTTTTCAAAGCTCGATCGAATAACTCTTCGTCTGTTTCTGTTTCTTCGATGAATCGTTCGATTTCATTCAGCGTGTTCGTTAGATTCGAACACTCAATGCACGATTCATCGTGCTCATGCTCACAATCCTGAGAAAAATTGCGTCCTTCTGGATCGCTCAATGCATAAACACAACAATGATCAGCAATATTGCTTGATCTCGTTACGTGCACTTTATAATCAGATTTCAAATAAAATCGAGCACGTTTCAAATTCTCAATAAGTCGTTCACTATCACTACAAAGAGTGACTTTATCTTCAATCATTTTTCGTAAACCATCAAATGCTTCTCCAGCTTCAGCTGCAAAGTAATTGATACCTTGTAAAGACTTTCTTGTTGATGCTTTACAAGTATCGAGAATAGTAAATAAACTACTCTTACCAAGTGGTTCAAAATCTGAACACATCTCTTTGCAATAAAGAAGATACTGATCGATAATACGAGTTGCTCCCATATTTCTTATAGTATTTGGAATGAACAATTCAATTCCAGATGATAACTTCAACACTTTTTCACCAAAGGGTAAATCCGTACACACGTGAGGTGAAATAATAAAATCAACAAAGTGGGCGATTTGATTATCATCAAATCGTTGTACAACCTTTGGTATTATGTCTACTTTTGAACCGACACCATATTTTGCAGCGTGCAAGCGCGCTGCAGAAAATCTGTAACCAGTTAAACCTGGTATGAACAGTTGCATGAGATTTAACGATATTTTCGGTGCAACGATTGAGAGAATCTCTCGTCTCGATTGCCACGATTCAGCACTGGTATATGCTTCTGAAATACCACTCATTATTTGACGAAAATTTCCGTCTAAAACAATATTCGAATTTTCACTGTTTACGTCCTTAAATGAGTCATGCATCAGCATGTCAGCATCATCCGATGCTATCAACAATGTAGCTGATCGCGTTATGAGTTTTACTAAACTTACATATCGCAATTTGACACGATGTGATAGATCCTTATAGGACGTTGTCACATTCACTTTTCTGTTACTGCCACAAGCAGAAAGAAAACTGTTCAAAGCTGTTATTTTTTCGTTCAACTTTTCTTCATCAGCCGAGGCATCATAAGGTGGTTCATAATCAATATCTTTGTCTTCCATGGAGTCTTCTTGACAACATATTGACTCAAGATCCAAAAGACATTCAAAAGCATCGTTATGAAGATCTAACTTTTTTATTTCTGTTTTGTCCGAAACTTTCAGTCGACACTTTGTACAAATAAGTTTTCCATAAGAGTTTCTCAAATTGAAAGATTCAAATAAAGTTATAGCTTGACTTATAGTAATATATCGTAAGTTAGTTTTAGCACACGATGCTGCTTCTCTTACGCTCTTACATGTATCACATTTATTTGAGTCGCTAGAAGCAACCCGTCGCAAAAGTGTTTTGTGATGAGCATCACAAACGAAAGCGTTTTCAACATCAAATTTGTGCTGGAAAAACATATCTGCTCTCAGAAGTATTACTTCCAAAAGATTTTTCGCCTGAGGAAATGGTTTGCTGTTTGTTGTTTTATTTTTTAATTCAGATAATCGTGTCCAAGTTTCTTGCCCT